TTAATGTTTTTACTAATGGAGCGCATGTGTGTGTGTGTGTGTTTGTGTTGTCTTCTTTTTATGCCCCATTGCCACTGTAATAGAATCTGCGCCCATCACGCCGACCCTCCTGTTGCCATAGTGACTCAGCAAAGCAGTGTTGTTGTTTTTTTTTTTTTCCCCCACATGTAGGTGAGAACCACACAGCAAATCCTTGAAAGGGTTCCGGAGAAGTCGCAAGATGAGGGAAAACCTTATCCTGCGCTGTCCATTTTTTTGATACGGCCCCTCAGGCCAAGATTCGAACCCAGAACCTCTCGGCAGACGCAATAACAACACACTTTGTGCACCCAAAAGCAAAACTTAGACTTCGTTTTATTCGCTCGGCTTTGCTTCCCTTTCGCGAAGGGGCGAGCACGTCGGCCTTTCGGGGAGAGTCATGCAACGTGAAGTGGGTTTGCAGAATGGAACAAAAGCCTCTGTTTGACTTGAAAGCGTTCATTTGAAAAAAAACCCAATGTCATCCTCTACCCTCGCAGCCGGCTGCGTGCAAAAAAAACCCCTTGTTTCATTCTTCTTCTCCTTTTTTCATCGCGCTGCCTCATTCATCCATTCCATCTTTGCGCGTGTGTGTGCGCGCGCGCGCCTGTGTGTGTATGCTTCAATGGCATCAAGACAATGCTCCACAGTTGAAGCCGTTTGGCATTGCAGCCGCATGAAATCAAAGGAGCGTGTGTGCTCATGCTAGTGACGTCAGTACCGTGTTATCACCGGCCTTTCCGTGTCATTATCGGGCCCTCTGCGTGCGTGTGTGTGTGTGTGTGTGTGTGTGTGTGTCCTGCATATGTGCGTCCTTTCAGAGGCAACTGCCACCTCTTTGATTAAACTGCTAATTATTTATATGCCAGCAGCAGATTTACAGGGATGACATTATTCCTTCCTGTGTGACGCGTGTGTGTGTGTGTGTGTGTGTGTGTGTGTGTGTGTGTGTGTGTGTGTGTGTGTGTGTGTGTGTGTGTGTGTGTGTGTACGCGCGCGCGACATCACAATGACTCCCGAAGGCAAGCTGGCTCCATGTTGCGTGCGTTCTCTCTTCATTCATTTATTCAAATCGATTTCCGAAAGCTGTGTTAGTCGAACACGTCGAGGTGAGCAGCGCCGCTCAGCCGGGCGCGAGTCTCAACGAGAGAGCACATGTCTGCCAAACGTGTTGGCCGCCGAGAGATTTTGCTCGAGCGAAAGTGAGCCGTGAACTCGGGAAGTCGTGTCGCTCTTAACGAGAAGAAAGAGGAACTTTGTGGGCTTTTTGTGCACAAACACGTACTCGCTTTTTCAAAGAGATGCTCTGTCTGCGCTTTGTGTCTTTTTCAAGATGACATCCTGCCATCCGGGAGTCGATTTTCAGTTTGTTTGGGTTTTTTTTGTGTGTATTTTTTCAATGAATAATAATTGAGCTGAAGTTGCAGGGATCAAATACTCGGAATGACCCTTTTGTTTACCGATTCTATTATTCTTCGCTCGTTTTAGAGGACGTAGGATTGGCCACTGGGGTCAAATAAAACACAACGAGCAGCTTGTTCAGCTTTTATTTGACTCGCTCTTCGGTTCCAGACTAGAGTGCAATTCGAAAAGCCAAACACTTTTCCCTTTGCGTTAGTCTTTAATAGAAATGAGATTAGTGTTCCCCGGCAACGAGTGAAAATCTGTCAAGAATTGCCTCTAAATGCGTGAAACACAGCTTTTTTCTTAATGGAACTCCTCAACTCGTTTCAACATAGTTCCTTGTCACCAAGAGGCCGCAAATAATGGCAAAGCATGACTTCAGTCCAAATGAAGCTCTACGCTTGACATCAACCTAGTTCCGTGTCAAGTAATACTTTTTTGCGTTTGTCCTGAAGTCCGTGTCGGTGAGTTTTCATCCGATAACGGAAGATAAATTCCCCCCCAAAAATCCGCCACAAAAAAGTGCACAGCTAACGGCATCGGTTTCTTGTCAGAATTTGACGAGCACACGTTTTTTCCGGGGAGAATGTATTTCCATTCTTTTGCAAATGAAGAAGCGGCGGCGGCCGTCGTCGGTTTCCATGTTAAATGTGTCACTGTCACCTTGTCCTTCTATTTGAGTCGCTCCCTGGCGAGCTCCCTCGCTTGAGAAACACACACCGGCTGCACGCATACGCCCCGCGACAGAGGCAGTGGAGCTGAACCGAGACAATTGCACAGGTTCATACGGCAGGAAATGGAATTGCCGAGGCGGGGGGAGCACCGACGCGCACACAACGTGAAGTACACCGCTCGCTGGCTGAGCCAGCTTTCCAGATGTTTCACCAACTCCCCTGTTCCAATCAATCACCCCTCATTCAGGCTTTTTATTACATCAAATTTCGGGGTTGGGGTGAGGTTATTTTATAAATCTTTGACCTTTTCCCTCGCTTGTGGTCGCGGCGGTGCTCCTCGTATGCGTTTATGAATGCGCGTTTGGCGGCTGTGCACCAATTTCATTTTCAGCGCATCCTTTCTTTGTCGCTCTCTCTCTCTCCTGACCTTTTCCGCCCCTTTCAGCGAGCTTGACATTTTAATCAATGAGCGTTTGCATCAATCGAGGGCAAATTATATCCGTGGCGATTTCTATGGATGGCTTTTATCCTGACCCATGGTTACAGACACACGGATATACAGTACTGCACTGGAGATTCGGCTCCTCTCTCATCTTCTCAGTGCGGCGGGGTTATCAGTCGTTCTCTGCAGAGGATAAAGAATAAATGCTGGGGAGTATTGTGATATTGTTTTTCTGCACGGGTTGCCACAAGGCTTGGGGCCCAATAAGCGGTTTACCGTGGTTTTAAAAAGTCATGTTTTCAAGAACTGATTTTTTTTTGGGGGGGGGGGGGACTGCTAATGAGGGCTCAATATGATTGGCTCCTTGCAGAGTTCAGTTTGAAGTTAACTGCCGCTTTTTTTTTTTTTTTAAACTGAGCAGAGAGCGGAGGGGCGAGCACTAACACACGGAGGAGGAGGAAGAGGACAGAGACAGCGTAATCATGGATGGCTTTTCACTCTAACGTGCATTGTCTTAAAAAACAAAAACAAACAAAAACAAAAAAACAAAAAACAATGGTGCCAGAGAGTACTAGTTAGGCCCGAGAGTGGCATGACTGACCCACGGTGACTTAAAAATAATTGAAACAAGGAAGAAAAAAAAAGACTTGTGAGATTAGATTGTGGAGTTCCCCCATGATGTGTTAACCTTCAGGCAGCAGGCGGTTGTTTTTGAATATACAATGCTTAATTAGCTTTTGCGCGCAGAGACCGTATACGCCCCTTTGTGGCTTTATAATAGATGCTCATTGATGTGTGGGCCAGCGTCTCGAATATATGAAAAGGTTCAAGTGGGCGTGTGTGCATTTACAGCACAAACAGCCCCGTCCCACGCACGTTTTTTGTCTTGAGTTTGACGTCAGAGACAACCACAACCATTATTATCGGTTGCAGGCAGGTGCTCGCGTGTGTCCCGACGGTTGACGGACAGTCCCGATCCGGACACCACAGTGGACAGCCAATCATGTTGTCAGGTTACAGGTTGTCATTATTGGTGCATGAAGGGGTTAATCAGCTGTTGGACGTTTTGGACAAACACGCACTCGTCTCATGAAAAGACCTTCTGAGCGAAGAGCGAAAAGCACGTATTGGTTTCTTCACACCCACGTGACACAACGGACGAAGGGAATTTCACAGGATAATAACATGAGTAATCAGTGTTTGGAAAGCCGTTTAGTTTCGGTCCGGGTGAACATAAATGCTAAAGTGCTTCTTTGTGAGTTTTGGGGTTGGAGTTTCCCTGATTTGTCATGCAAATTGATTTTTAAAAAAATGTCAACTTTGTCTCCAAATATTTTTCAAATCGCTTATTGTACTGAATATCCATTTTGATTATTTGAGTCATCGGATAAAAATTAACTTTGCAACAAAATGTGCAGGTGAGCCGGAGGAGGAATTCATTTTTGTCTTGCACACTTTTGAAGTGAATGTGCGCCTTTAAAATGCGGGGGCCTGGCCTGGTGAGTGCCGTGGGTGTCGGTGAATGAAAATGTGGTGTTGGCTGTTCAGGTTCGCGGCTTGATGTTAACTGGCTCACCGTTAGCCACTTGTGGCCAGGCAGCTTGTGTCTGACTGTGCTTCTTCTGCTTATTTTTTAAAATTTTATTTTATTTTTTACCGTTTGTGCATTCTGTATTAAATTAGCGAACAGCTGTTGTGGTGCGCTAGACAAAAACTTTCTTTTCGGCACCCTTTCCTCATGGCTCACAGCCGAGTCATTTCGACAGTGTGGAAAAAATGAAGTCTTTCGATGACAGGAAGTGACGCGGAAGGACAGGATGTGTTGATGACCGGAGCGGGTAGAATATTGAAGAGTTAAGCGCGGAAAGAGGTTTAGCATAGTGGCAAATTGGTGACGCTGAAGGCAAACGATCTGGCGATGGGCTCATCTGCATTCATCACACCGCTTGTTTTCCCGATTGGAGCTCTCACTTCCCGGAACACACATGGAAGACGTGGCCGAATCTGAATTTCGGCTCATTTGCCTCGAATATTTGTCTGATGGGATATTTCATACTTTGCGTCAGTGGAAGAATGCCTCCAGTGAATCGGTAATTAAAATGCTAATTTCCACCCCACCCACGTTAGAAGCGGTTCCACTCGCTTTGTTCCTTCCGGCCCAATTGATGAAGTTTTGAGAGCGAGGCTCTCCATCACAGCGGTAACCACGGCGACACTTTTCTGTGGACTCGGCCAACGAAGCGAACCAAATCGAATTGCCTCCAGTTTTCCTCAGCCACAAAACGTGACACACTTGCTGAAATAATGAACAGCACTTGTGACTTTAGAAAGATTTTTTTTTTTTTTCGCTCTTCATTTTTCAGCATGCGTATTATTGCGCTGTCAAACCACAATGCATCACACTGAGAGGTTCGCTCATTCATATGTCGCTAAATCTCAATTCGGATCTCTTGTCTTTGCAGAGGAGCCTTTTCCGAGGTGGTCCTGGCCCAGGAGAAACTGACGGGTCGAATGTTTGCGGTGAAGTGCATTCCGAAAAAGGCCCTCAAGGGGAAAGAGAGCAGCATTGAGAACGAGATCGCCGTGCTGAGGAAGTGAGAGCAGCGCCGCGCACACACAAACACACACACACACACACACACACACCAGTATGAGCCATCTTTTTCATGGTTACTGGGGCAACTATGCGTCTCCTCTATCAGCCACCCCCAGGTCTAAAGCCCGTCTCTCTCTCTCTCACACACACACACACACACACACACACACACACACACACACTGGCTCTTCCAGTAGCCACGTTCGTCATAACTATGAAAATATCGCTCGACTAGAATGGGCGGACATTGCTTTGCGACCGCTTCTTCATTCAATATTTCCTCCTCTGAAGTGACATCCGTCTTTTATGGCTGTTGTATCAAGCGGAAATGTTTTCTTTGTTTCTGCGATAAACTCTTCCGGGACAAACGGCGCGACGCTGTGAACAGACCAACGTCATTTTTTGCCGACACATTTCCAGATGGTGTTGACTTATCATCATTGTGGTTTAGGATTTAATTGGCTCTAAAGCCTTAATAGGACCACCCCACCACCCCCAAAAATAAAATAAAATAAAATGCATCACGGTCAGCTGATATGCGAACAAACGTTCCCCATTCACAGCTGGAAAAGAGACTTGGATGAATGAGAGTGGCTTGATCATGTGACGCTGTAGCATCTGAGAAGGGCTCTTCTGCGAGCACTCTTATTCTCTGCCATCATCGCCGGCAGTCCTCACACACACACACACACACACACACACACACACACACACGCACGCGCCCCCCGTGCACATTCTCTCTGTCAAACCCGTACGCCTTTTGTGTGCCCGCGTCGACTACAAATGAGTCACATCACGGTACTCGCGCTCCATCGCCGCTCACGCACTCATAATGATTCTTTTCTACTCACCTTCCGGGAATGCCTTGTGGGGATTTACCGCTGCTCCCAAAGCAAGCGATGATTAACCCACACGCCCACACTAAATCTCGTGTTCCAGGTATTAGGGTAACGCTCCTCTCCGTGCCGTAACCGTCGAGGCGACTCCGTCCAAATGGCTCCACGTGATTTCTGTTAACCCTTTTGAGGGACAGCGGTGACTACAGTGGACAGCTTATCGCGTAATCAGGTTACAAAGGGTGCACGAAAGGGTCAAAGCAGATTGACACTCTTGGTTTTTGTCTTTGCAGGATTAAGCATGAAAATATCGTGGCGCTGGAGGACATCTACGAGAGTCCGGATCACCTCTATCTCATTATGCAACTGTGAGTTGAACCGATTTTGAAAATATTGACCATTTGAAGAATAAGAAAGCCTTTATTCGTCTCACAATGGAGAAATTAACCAATTTACAGCAGCAAAGCTATGAAAATAGAAGAACAAAAAGTAAGAGGCGCTGCTGTAAAGGCAGCCACTCTCGCGGCGCCATCTTGACGTCATAATTAACGTCATAACAAAATAACGGCAGAAAAGGCGAAAGCGGCGGCGCTTTTTGGGTGGTGGCCGACTGACCTCCTCTCCGGGTTGAAACAAGAGACGAAACATTGCTCTGGCACCTGTTCTGGAAACAGTTGAGTCAAGTTCAATACAAGTCCTTGTGGGGGGGGGGGGGGATTACGCAACAGCGGGCGTTATTTGTCGCTCCATGTCAAGAGATTAGCGCTCATGTTTGGGGCTTCTTGATTCCGCTGATCCAAACACAGCAGGCGAGGGAGTTGCTCGGACATTTAATCAGGAAATGGGAATCGGGTAAAAGATGCGACATTGTACTTTCTCCTTGATTCGTTGAAAAGTTTGTTTTTTTTTCCTGTTATTTCTTTTTGGGTTAATCTATGTTTGTTTGTGGATTATTTACCATTGCACTAGAATCTTTTGACATGACAAACGTTGTCCAGCAGTTGCTTCGTTTCACAATTCGTCAATGAAATATAGACGAAATTGATGAAGAAGAGTTGTTTTCCGGCACACACTTTTTGTGTTTGGCGTCGGCCAAACAGGATGCGCTTAACTGAAATCCCCCCCGTTGGCCAGACGACACAAACTTTCCTGTCGTCATCAATTAGCCTATTAGCGGAGCCATTCCGTTTGCAGCCCGCTTTCTCCCAGCAAGCCTCCCGAGAAGATTTCAACCGCTTGCCATCCTGCTGGAGCAAAAGTTAAGCTTACTTCCCCCCGGGGAGCAGTTTTTGAGCTTCCCATTGTCCGCCCTTTGCGATTGGAACGTGGCCTTTTGCCAGTCAAAAGACAGTGAAGTGGTCTCAGATGAGCTGAGACGTTCCTTTGGGAAAAACCCATCCGCCGCGTCTTTGTCCATCAGCGTTTCTCATTCCTCACCTCCATCGCCTTCGTCTCCTTTTGTCCGTGTTCTCTTTCTCCTTCGTCCCTTCGCACCTCGTTTCCATCACCAGCACCTCTCGCCCTGCACCTGCTCACATGGAATTCAGTTTGCTTCTTTTTTTTTTTTTTTTTTTCCCTCCCTTCCTCGCTCCGGCGAGGTCCTTCATAGGTCAGTGCACATCAGTGACCATGTTTACAAGGTCAAAGGTAACATCGGAACTGGAGCTTGTTTCGCCGTTGCCAATAAATTGTGAATTCCAAGCGCCCGATCAACTTGGAAATATCTCCCTTCATGTTATGAAGACATGCTTCCCGCGAGACACGCTTTTCATCTTTTAGTGCGCGTCTTTGCTTGAGCAGCAAAAAAAAAACAAAAAAAAACAAAACAATAAAATAGAATCAAATCAAGTTAGTCCAAATCCCATTTGTTCCGGCCTTTTTGTGCCGCAGGCTGCACTCGGCCGTCGCACCAACGCGACAACCCAGCAAAAAAAGCATTTCGATCACGGTTTCGAAATTGACAGAAAACGCTTATTCAAGCCTGTGTACAATCATGGGGGGGCGCTTTGAAAAGGAAGAAAGTGCATCAGTTTGTTGGATGATTCTATTCAAGGCAATTGAAATCCAAATAAATGGTGTTATTGGGCTCGGTCGCTATCCCGAATCATCTTTATCATGTTTTTAAATACGATTAGTGGAACACACACAAGGCCTCCCAGGATTTACGATTCATCACCGCCTCACTATTTGTTTTTTTTTTTTTTTTTTTTTTAAATAATCCAAATTCTAACAGACGTCTAAATTGTAGTGGCCTCCAGCCGAAGGGGAAATAAAAAAAAGTCAACCATGAAGGACAGCGGTTAAAAAAATGAATTTGATCTTCTCCTCGGTTTTATGCCTTCCATTGTTTTCTTTTTTTTTTTTTTTGCACATTTCCCGGTCAAATTGAAAAGAGCCAGCAGCCGCAACTGTGCCTGATATTTTGATTGCCTTATTCAACAACACGAATAAAAACTTGCCATCGCTTTTTGAAATGACTTCCCGTCCTGCTCCTGCCTAAAAAATGAGAAAGAGTCGTTCAAAGGGAGCCCAATCACCACCAACCTCTGACCACAGTCCCCATTGTGAGCTCAGTCATTTTTTTTTTCTCTTAACAAGAAAAATCCAACAGTAAAAGCAATTTCCCCTTCTTTGTTGGAACACAACTAGAAAAAGACAATAGAGGAAGACTTGGTTTGCCCTTTTTTTCCTCACGTAATGAAACTTTCAGGCCTCTGTTGAAAGCACTCACTTCTCCGTACAATCTTTGTACGTGAGCGCTGTGTCAACTTTGAAATGTTTACTGTCCCGTAGCATGCCAGCATTAGTAATGACTGGATTCACGAGCTCGTCCTTCAAGATTTTTTTTTTCATCGTATTTGCGTATCGCCTGTATGCCTTTAAGGGGTGTGGTCTAGTGAGCGACGTCAAGAACTGGAGCAGGTTAGCCTGTGTGGGAGCGTCTGTCTGTGAGTTGCGGCTGACGGCAACTCGATGAGTGTTCTCGTTTGAGTTTGATTTAATTTTTTTATTTATTTATTTTTATTATTTATAATTGGGGGGGGGCACTTTACATTACCTCAGTCTTTTCTTTCGCTCCTTTCCCTTTCGCATGTGTCCATACGCATGTGTCGGTTCCCTGATTGCAATGCTCCGCTTATTTCCAAACATTTGACAAAGTTAGGTGGTTGTTGAAGCTTAGACAAAAACAACAAAAAAAAAATAATAATAATAGTTACCGTAGAACAAGCTTTAATTTGATTTGTTACCGTGACAACAAGCCCGAGCGCATCCATGGATGGGCGTGCCAATGGCGCTTTTGCACACGCGCTCGCTTGTTGCGTCTTTGACGCGTGAGGAGAGTTTCACTTTCCGAGACGGAGTTGTCCAGCAGAGGGCGCTACGTGCCCGTACACCAGATATTGACTTGGTGTGGAAACCGGACCTGTTGAGCGCAAAGCATTTATTCTGTTCTATAAACGGTAACAGGTGCAATTAATTTCTGTGCCTGTCACTATACGTCGCTGGCATAGATACATGAACAAAGATAGCGGGGGGGGGGCATCTGAGCAATAATAAAGAGGTCATATCGACTCTATTAGGCAAGCGCAAACCTTTCACCTGATCTTGTGTTGCATGTGTCCATCAGATGCTTTTCCAAGTGTGTCCACTGTGTCCTGATACCGCAGTTATTTCATTAACGCACACTTGAATTGCGCAGGGTGTCCGGCGGTGAGCTCTTTGACCGAATCGTCGAAAAAGGCTTCTACACGGAGAAAGATGCCAGCACGCTCATCCGACAAGTCCTGGATGCTGTGAACTATCTACACAACATGGGCATCGTGCACCGAGACCTGAAGGTAAGCACGCTCTCTGGCTCACTCTCACCTCTTAAGTGCCTTTTTTGCTCTCACTTGACAGTGAGAGATTTTGTGCCGCAATTACGCCAGGGGCTCTTCACTGTGCGGTCGTGCGCTGTGGGGTCAGTGTGGTTGCGTGCTGCCTCATGAGGTGTCACACACGAAGCTCAAGCTGAACAGATGTGTCTCTAATTCCCTTCAAATTTCCCTTTTTTTAAATTTTTTATTTTTTTTTATAAATGTTCTAAATCAAGGTCTGTCTTTCCCCTGTAGCCGGAGAACCTGCTGTACTTTAATCCCCATGACGGTTCGAAGATCATGATCAGTGACTTTGGTCTTTCCAAGATGGAGGGTAGCGGCAATGTCATGTCCACTGCCTGCGGGACACCAGGATACGTCGGTAAGTAACAGTGGCCATACGTTTATAGCATCGAGCTGCAGAACATGTCGCGCGAGCAAAAATGCGATGCGCCGTCGCGAATTTGATGCTCTGGGGCGATGAATCGAGTGCGTCTGAAGCGTTTGTGCATGTACAAAGTACATGTTGCGGCTTTCTTCGGATGGTCGTGCCTCTCTCCGGCAGACATGAATAATTCAATGAGCGCATGTTGTTTCCGTCTGACACCAGGCAGATTTATGCAGGCTGGGTCATCGATTTTTATTCAGCGTGTGTGTGCTTGTGTGCATGTGCATGAAAGGCTCCCTCACTGATATAGCATTAATCAGTCGTCCTCCCCGCTCGACTCATTCACTCAAAATCAAGTGTGTGTGTGTGTGTGTGTGTGTGTGTGTGTGTGTGTGTGTGTGTGTGTGTGTGTGTGTGTGTGTGTGTGTGTTTCTGCTCGTGCGTTTGCATCTGTTGTGACAAGAGACAGATGTTCAGACCCCTCGCCCGCATCAACACAAACAACCAATTGCTCAACTTGTTGACATGCAATGTCAAGTCTCTTGCGTGAACTTTTTTTTTTAATCCATTGAAACCTTTGCACAACATGTGTTAGTTTTCTTTCACTTCATCATAATGCAAAATGCACGTACACATACCCCAGTTACCCTGCATTTAACTTATTAGAACTTAGGTTTCAATAAACGGTGTAGGCTTTCCTCACATGCTTTCCTGATGCCGTTTCTATCGTACTTTCTCATCCAGCCTTCTTTGCCCTCCTGCATCGGTTCACTTTGTCATATGCTTCGAACTGTAACGCAACAGTCAACAAACCCTAAAACCCACCGGGCCAGGTCTGAATGATCAAGAGCCAAGCGCATCGTTTTTTGCGTCGTGACTAAGCTAATGTTTTGAAGATTCTGTTCGCTCCAGTAACACAATCTCATCGCATGGCTGTGCCAATGAGGTCCTTAATGCTCCAATTTAGAGTGCCCTTAAGCATTGAGAATCGTGTGCTTCAACTGCTCTTCACTTTAACACCACAGGGATCCATACTAAGTCCCATTGTTTAACGCAGTGGTATGATAGTATCTCGGAGCCGGATTTAAATGTAGCTAATTAGTATACAGTAGTTAAGCCTAATAATTCCTGTGTTTATCTTGCATTCGAAAATAGAAAGAACCAGACTTCATGACCTCACATGTTGGAATGCGGCAAGAGCAGCAGACATTCACAACATCACAATGACTCATGGTGTAACTATAAACAAGTACTCTCTGATTCAGCGCATGTGTGCAAGTGTGATATTTTGACCCACATTTTTTTTTTTTTAATGTCGTGGATAGAAAAAGCCTTCGGCCCCTTCATTTCGAAAGACAAGATTTTCTGATGTGAAAAAAAAGAGCCGAAATTAAATAATTTCAAAACTTCTTCCACCTGTCCAACTCAACTCAAATGGCAAAAAAGAAAAAAAACAACTGAGATCATGTAACATAAGTACGCAGATTTTTACATGCAGCTTCACATTAAAAAAAAGAAAAAAGAAACATCGCCCTTAAGCATTGGCTTTAATGGTGCGTGAACAACCACAAAGCTCCTGTAAAAGGGACTTTGTCAGTAATTAAGAAGCTCAAAGTGTCAAAAGGCTGACTCATTCTTATCTGTCTGTTTCAGCGCCCGAAGTGCTCGCTCAGAAGCCGTACAGCAAGGCGGTGGACTGCTGGTCTATTGGAGTGATCGCCTATATTCTGTAAGTCGGAATGTTCTCAACACACGCTCGTAGTTCCTCGGGCCAGATCTCGACTCTTGATTCGATACGGAGCCTCCAGGTTGCGTTCAAAAAGGTGTTCTTGTGTCACTGTCATTGTTATGAATGGAGCATTTATTCCCAACCGCTGCGCCGTTGCATTAGAGTGCGCCGCCAGAGATCAGGTGTGCTGCGGGAAAAGTATCCCATTTCACTGAACTGGTCCGAAACCGTTGATTTCTCAGCTACATATCCGTATCGTCGTTTCATCTTTTCTATATCGGTGACGTGTAGTGACAGGCTGAACGATGAACTGCTCCGCCGGATGGCAGAAGGTACAATTAACCAAAAAAGCAACGGAATGATAGCCTCGTGCTCTAAATAATTGCTCTGATGACTGTCTCATTAAAAAAAAAGGGGGGGGAGGGGGGGGTACCGAAACTCAACCGTATGCGTTCTCCATAAGTAGCTCGAAAATGTTATGAATTGCCGCTCTGCCTGATCACTCACGTTTATGAGTTGATGTGTGTGCCGGGTGCAATGATGATGATGATGATGATGCTGATGCTGATGGTGTTGCTAGGCGCCATCAGCAGAACCAGATGCGACTCCGCGCGATACCCTTATATGGAAATGGAGCCAGACGTATTGTTCTAGTTGTTTTGTTTTCTTCCCGCGCCGCCAACTCACCTCGTACCACCTCACGCGCACGCGCGCGTGCTACAAATCCAGCGCACACATTGTAGAATTCGCCGTGATTTTTTTTTTTTTTTTTGAAAGGTTTGTGTCTACGTCTGGGTCCCGTTGCCGTGCGCTTGTGCGTCCTCCACAAGACCAGGGTCAGAAGGTCGAGGTCAGCCGCGGGTTAATGGGACGAAGTGTGTGAGCCGTGGCCTTAAAAAAAGATCACGCGTATGTGTGTGTGTGCACTTGAGCGCACGTCACGGCGCTCAAAGAGAAAACGCGGCCCCCCCTGCTGGCAATGTGCACAATTAGTCTGGCAATTTAGACCTTGTTAGCTTTTCGCCGTTGCTCAGGTGGAAAGATCACATCAGGTAATCAGCCATGATAATCACCTGGGATTTTGTGGCCGGTGTCGTCTCGGTGCGCGAGGTGGACGACGACCCACCGTGGCGTGAAAGCCGTTCAACCAAAGAGTTGCGGCGACCGCCCGTCTTTCTTCATCTGAACGTTTCAGTCAGTTTGGCGTGACACGATCGTCGTCAGCCACCTTAAGCGTGAGCAAAAACACAAACGGCAAGTCTTTTCTTTCTTTTTTTTTTTCCTCCCAGCAGGCAGCACCTTGCCTCATGTTTCCCTTCATACTATTAACTTGTGCCTGTGTGAGTGTGTATCGATGGGGAACGGCATTTTAATGGGTCTTTAGGAAAATCTCAGTGCATCCAGAACTTGAGTAATGAGGTGCAGATGATGTTTTGTCGGATCGGCATTAATTACAAATGGGAGATTGGGGCAATTTGTCTTTGCCGCTCCACATCTCATGTCAGCTTGATGGCGAGGGTGCAAGTACTGCCAAATCACTCCAAAAGGAGCACTGCAAAGATGATGAAGGGAAAGTTTATTTTGCAATTAAATGAATGCTCGCTATTAAATAGGGCGGAACTATTTTGGAAAAGAATCCAATTATGAGTTTTTTTTTTCCTCCTCAATTTTTCCACCTCAATATTGTGATTGCAATTTTTTTTTTTTTGCCATGAATTAATCAATTTATCTCCCAAAATAAAGCCAACCGACCGACCAAAATGAGGCAACGGGTTGGAAATCTTTTCACAAACAGCTGCCTTGAAAATCGCATTCTACGACGTTGCGATGCCAAGTTGAAGTGGATTAAATTTTTTATTTTATCCATTTTTTTTTTTATCCTTAGTACTAAATTTAAATATCGCAACGTTATTTTCTACCCCGGCGCTCATCCAATTAAGCTAATGGAAGTACTTGACTTGAATCTTGAATTTGACTTCAAGTTAAGCGTAATCTCCATCTATGAGTTGATGAGCTCTCAACAAAAGCGAGCGAATGACAAAGCTCTTCCGTCCACAGGCTGTGCGGGTATCCCCCTTTTTACGACGAGAACGACTCCAAGCTGTTTGAACAAATCCTCAAAGCCGACTACGAGTTTGACGCGCCGTACTGGGACGACATATCCGACTCCGGTGAGCCTTCCTCCTTCGCCGCCGCCGTTGTCGTCATCCTCCCCATATGGACCCCGCACCGTCTCTCGGCCACCCCTGCCACGCTTCAATATGTGATCACGCCGTCAGGTGTAAGCGCCTGCTTTCCAACAGATGGTGTTCAGAGCACGCACAAGTCAAGCCAAACCAGTTCTGGGCTTCCTTGAAATCAAATCATGAAAATGTGTGTCATGTAACTGGATTCTTTGCAATATTGATTGTCGATGGTTAGCTCCTGTTTATCACAGGACACCGTTACTAGATGAAAATTTGCGATCGAAATAACATATGCTTTAAACCGCTTGTCACTTGTTAATTTACCCTAAAAAACTGACATTAAAAAAAAAAGGGGAATTTAGCATTGTGTATTGAAACACTTAAATATCAGTGATGATAGTCCTCCAGATTTTCCCGGAATTCCGGATTTTCAAATTTTAATGTGAAAATTTCTCCGGAGAATTGAGGAAAAATTGCCGAAAATGAATCCGGATATTAGTTGACAACATTGAACGAACACGCGTTTGAATTCGTTGTTTTGCTTTCACGAGCGTAGCCATGTTGAGGCACTAACACTCGCAACAGTAAAGAGATATTCATCTTTTTATTAACACACTTCCAGTAGAACGAATAAAAGACGCCGTGGACATGACCGTTGTTGTCGTAAAAAATATATTTGGACAAAAAGGGAAACACACAGATTGGCAGAAAAACGTGTCTGTCCGACTTCGAGTGTCGTCTCGGCTATCTTAGCTGTTGACGTATGTCATGTGTGACGTCGGTTGCGTCGGCGCTGATTGGTTGAAATCAAAAGACGCGCTTGCGTACGTTTTTTTTTTTTTCCCGGAATTTTCAGGACAGTCCACTTTCATCTCTGAATATTGAACCAAGCGACATAATTTCGTTGAATCAAGGTCTGCTAGCTTAATGCTAGTGTATAATGAGAAACACCGATGACAGGTTAGTAGAAATGAGCATGGATTGTGTTGTATTAATTTTTTTTTTTGTTGTTTTTCGCTTGCGTACGTTTTTTTTTCCCCGGAATTTTCAGGACAGTCCACTTTCATCTCTGAATATTGAACCAAGCGACATAATTTCGTCGAATCAAAGTCTGCTAGCTTAATGCTAGTGTACAATGAGAAACGCCAATGACAGGTTTGTAGAAATGAGCATGGATTGTGTTGTATTAATTTTATTTTTTTTAAATATGGAGCAGGAATAAATACAAAAAGCCAACAGCGATATTGGGGGGTATTGGGGGCCTTCTCTGCCACTCGTTCTTAATCACACCGCAGCTCTCCCAGTAGTCCTCAGTGCTGCCCGGCACAACATTGCACTACGCTGAACACGTGTACATCTCTAAATTTGGACTTGCATGTACTCTGAGAGTGAAACTGATGAATCGTCATATCACGAGGGACGATGTATACCGCTAGGTGTTTTGACTACACAATGTAATAATATCTTCCAGCCAAGGATTTCATCGGCAACCTCATGGAAAAAGATCCAGCCAAGCGGTTCACCTGCGAACAGGCTCTCAGACATCCCTGGTGAGCTACGCGCACTCAGACACACACACACAGAATGACACAGCAAAGGCAGGCTGACATAAAGACATCAAATCAATGGAGATATTGATTCAGTCGTGAGTGCCAACAAGCTACTCTCTCGTGTGCCAGGATCGCCGGAGATACAGCTCTCTGCAAGAACATCCACGAGTCCGTCAGCCGGCAAATTAGGAAAAACTTTGCCAAGAGCAAATGGAGGGTAAACTGCTTTCCTGAAGTCACTTAAGATTATTGAGTGCGACTCCGTCAGCGATGGTTTGCGCTTGCGGAGACGCGCTCACGCGCCGTTCCTCTCTGGCCTCTCCGCAGCAAGCGTTCAATGCCACGGTGGTGGTTCGCCACATGAGGCGGTTGCAACTTGGCAGCAGCACGGCGGGCAGCATGGACGCTTCCAACCCCCCCGCCAGGACGAGCCAGAAGCTGGCACAAGGTCCCAGCCAGGCGGACCGGAACAGGCCGGCTCCCGGCCAGAACGCCGGTTCGGCCGCCAGCCAGACTTCGTCTTTTGACAACTTAGGAGGGCCGCGCAAGGAATGTGAGTAGTGCGCCACAACATGCGTGCATTCGACAATTAAGTTTTCACTGTTTGTAAATGTTGTGCGTGGAAAAATTTACACCTCAGGAGGATTTGTATTATTGACTCAGACATTTTGGAAGTCGCAGCACTGGCAAAAGGGAAAACTAACTGAAGAGTGAAAAAAAAATTTTTTTTCACAAAATTCATGACAATCTGTCATATTTTTTTTTCACCAAATTTACCTAATAATTTTTTTTAATGCTTGAAAAATATATATTTCTAAAATTGTGAATATATGAAAATTTTATTTATATGTGTATATATATATGTATATATATATATATGTATATATATATATATATATATATATATTTGTTGCAAATCTTAATTTTGTGTCAAGTCATATCATTTCTTGTTATCAGGACATATTTATTTTATGAAAAAAAAAATCTCCAGATGTACTAATTGTCCCATTTCCTGGTTTATTTGATTCCAATTTTTATTTTCTCCTTTCAGAAACAGTCTTGAAATACAGAAAAGCCTGAAAGGGGAAAAAAACAAAAACAAGTTTGACGCAAAACTTGTTTTTAATCATTTCATGGTCATTTTACTTATTTTTTTGCGAAGAACCCAAAATATTTTTTTTTGTTTAAAATGAAATGTTCAGACCATATCATACATCCATGCAAGACAGTTATTTTTCCTTTATTTTGTTGTCCTATTTTTTTCATTCCAACCCCCCCACACACACACACACACACTTTGATGCTTTAATCTTTGATGTTACATTTGGCGACTGAATGTGTCAGATATGTACTGAATGCAAAGCTAATCAGAAACTGGGTACTTTTAAAACTTTTAAAAAATCAGAAACTGGGTACTTTTTTTTAATCTGACAGTTCTAAGAAATTCACCTCTGTTTCTCACGTTTATTTCTGTAACTATGCATTTGCATGTATTTGGGATTAATCCCCGTAAGGAGTCAAAAGTTCCAATTTTGGCAGGAAACACTTCTCAAGGCTGACAAATTGTGTCCATTCGTCTGACTCCGCCCACCCCAGGTGTCGCCGCGCCAGCCACTCCCTGCAGCCTGGCCTCCGCAGCCGCTTCCCCCGCGCCGGGGGGCGAGCTGAGCCGACCGCACCCCTCGCCGGTGCCCGCCCCTGTGCTGGCGGAGACCAAGTGACGCCAGGTGTCGCGGGGGACCAGCTGGGAGGCCACGGCGCTGTGAAGCGCAGGAGGACGCCAGGAGAGGACGTTTGACCCCCTTCGTCCGTTCACTGAACTTCTTCATGGAAGTGTGCCCCCACCCACCATGTCCTCCTCCTTCCCCTCAGCTGGTTCCTCGCCCTGCTCCGAGACGAGCAGAGGACCTTCACCCGGCCGACAACCCCCGCCGCTCCCAACTGGGATCCAGCCGCACGACATCACAGACTCCGGCTGAGCATGTTTGTGAGTTGCCTGGCGCTGAATCACATGAATCCGTGTCAACGTCCCTGCTGAATCTCGTCTCTCCTTCACCAATCTAATTAACTCTGTTTGTTTTCTTTCTTTTCAACTCGGGATTGACTGTTGGCAACTGGAATGTTTTCATTCATTTTTTTTTTCCCCCTCTTCTACTTCAAGGTGTGGTTTTTTTTTTTCTCTCAAAAGGCCATCGCTGTTAAAAATTCGCCGGAGGATTTCTCGAAACAAAAGACCACGATCAAGGCGATCGGTCGCCACTACCTCATGCTCATTACCCGGCTTTCGAAGCAAAAAGCTTCTCCCTAATTGGAATCCGGGTGGTTTCCCATCATGCACTGCTGGCTTTGTGCGCTTCATCCTGGCATCCCTCCTTATTTGCTTTAAATAATCTCTGCTCGTGTTGCGTAGCAAGTTGACAGTATTTCATTCATCGTTTAAAATGCAACATGTAGCACCTTTAAAAAATGTGTTTTTTCTTTTTTCCTTTTGGGGGCTTCGTCCGTCCGTGTGAGTTTTCGCTTCAAAAAAGTGCTTTCAAAGAACCTTATGACTGTTGAGAGAGGAAATGTAGAAGTTAGTGCTGTGTGTGTTTTGCATAGCGAGGGTGCAGATAACGGACGCAGGTTTGACGCCACCCACCGACATTTATCAAACAGGAAAAAGAGATTGTATTGAACATCCGACTTTTTTTTTTTTTTGAAGACTCATGTTGCTTTAAAATGAGTTTCCGAATGTTGCCCTTCAATGGAGTCAAAGTGAAACACTCAGAAATGTAAACTGCATGGGCAAAAGTGTTCACACACTCAACAAAAACTCACCCCCCCCAAAAAAAAAAATCCACTCAAATTAAAATTAACTGAATTTTAAAAACAAATGTCAAAATGAACAAAAAAAAAAAAAAACCTACAATGAAAAATGCCAAATAATTATAACCCTGCTTTGGACCTGATTTTCTTCCATTTGTGACGATGAAGGTGCCCCGTATCACGTCACATTTTGGGGCGTGTTTGTGATGACGCCCCCCCCCCCCCCCCTCCTGTCTCTACGCTTTCTTCTCAC